CCGGTTCAGCCTGGAGAAGAGAAGGCTCCAGGGAGACCTTCTTGAGGCCTTTCAGTACTTAAAGGGGGCCTATACAGAAGACAGAGAGAGACATTTTGCCATGGCCTGTAGTGACAGGACAAGGGGCAACAGTTTTAAAATGAAAGAGGGTAGGTTTAGATTGGACATAAGGAAGAAATTCCTTACGATGATGGTGGTGAGACACTGGAACAAGTTGCCCAGAGAGGTTGTCGATGCCCCATCTCTGGAAGTGTTCAAGGTCAGGTTGGACGGGGCTTTGAGCAACCTGATCCAGTGGAAGGGGTTGGACCAGGTGATCTTTAAAGGTCCCTTCCAACCCAAACCATCCTGTGATTCTCTGATCCTGTGCTTTAGGTGCTGTTAATGAACAGCTAGTGCCTGTTTGCGGGCAAGAGCTGGGTTTTCCCTCCTTGGGTGTGAGCATTCAGTGAAAGGACCTCAACAGCAATAGTCAGTGCCTCTCCCACGATGCTGATCTGAGGAGAGAGTGCTAATACCGAGTGTAAATCCCAGGGCAGAAATAGAGCCAGAGAAGGAAACCGGCCCAAACCCAAGCTAGGACTCGAGCCAAGCTCGAATAAATGAGATCCTCTCTGCAGCTTTGGGACTCTGCCCTAGGCGCTGAGTGAGGAATGACATGAACTGAAAAACTGAACCCAAAGCTACTCTTCACTGGGAGAGGGGGGAAAAAAACCAGTTTGATCTTAAATGAAATTTAAAATTTATTTTCCAGCTCTGATTTGAAAGGAGCGCAGTGCATGATGCAGGAGTGAAACACCTGCTTGCTTTCGGTGTCAAGCTCTCCCCTCATCAGCTCTTTTCCCTTTATGCGCATCAGGACTCTGAGGTCTTTGTCTCTGCCACTTTCCCAGGACTTTGCTAAACTTCCAGGAGAAGAAGAGTTGAACTTTGGTCCTTATTTGGTTTTCAGGTCATTTTTTGTATCCAATGCCATGAGTGCAGCAGGGGCCTTTGTAGGTGCCAAGAATCTGCAAGAGTGTGAGAAGCACGCTCACAAGCAGCAGGGGACCGACCGTGGAGGTCAAGGACAGATGTTGCTTCCAGTTGCAAATGCAGTTAAAACCAGATGAAAAAGCCAGCAAAACCTAAAGCCACAACGTTTTTACAATGTTTCTACAACCTTGGTGAGAAATTAGGCCAGCGTGAGGAGCGAGTTTGGCTGTACTTGAGAAAAATGCAGCTTCTGCCTTACAAAAGTGGGTTTCTGTCATGCAATTGTACAAATGTGTCACTCGGTGGTTTGAGCCCCAGCTGGGGCATAGCTTGCACTGTGTGAAGTACCTTGTCATGTCTCCTCCTAACCCCATCCCACCCCACGTGCCAAACAGTGTCTGGACATGCTGGCCCCAAAGCAACTCCGTCTGGAAGCATCTGTAATCCCAGCCCAGACACGGTGGCAACACAGCGGAGCAGAGTGAGATCCGTGTCCCAGGGCCTGGGCTGACATCTCAGTGGCATCTTGGTGGCCGCCCAGCTGTATGTTTGTCTGGTGCTGTCAGAGAGTCCCACAGGTGACAGCTGAGGACACAGCCCACAGCACAACAGGGGGATTTATTCTGTGCCCAGGGCTGTCCCGACAGCGTACAGGCTGCTTGCCTTCGAGGAAAGCGGGCACCTTTCTGCAGGATCGAGGCCGTTGGAGGTTGTGCTGTGGATCCCTAGGGCTGTATTTAGCCTCTGCAAGTAACCAATGATGTCATGTAAGGTCTAAGAGTATTTGGAGGCTGGGTGGCTTTCAGAAACTAGAGGACTACAAAGGAAACATCGCCTGCATTTTGCGAATTGTCTTTTGCACGTTGTCATCAACAATTTCGTAATCGTGTTCGGTGCTGTTGCTCTCTATGCCTGGAAGGGAAGAGAGAGCACGGCCTGCAGACGTGCACCGCCACAGACCGCAGCAGAAACCCCGCCTGCTCTCCCCACCTCCCTGGTCTGAGCTGCGCCCGGACACGGCAGGGATTGGGGATGTGGGGAGAGAAGGGCGTCTCGTGGTGTGGTGGCAGAGCAGCTGGCACCACAGAAACCAGCCTCTGCGGCCACAGGGCCCCTTGGATTTT